TGTTTGTTTGTTGGTTTGTTTGTTTGTTGGTTTGTTTGTTTGTTGGTTTGTTTGTTGGTTGGTTTGTTGGTTGTTTGTTTGTTGGTTTGTATGTTGGTTTGTTGGTTTGTTTGTTTGGTTGGTTGGTTGGTTGGTTGGTTTGTTGGTTTGTTTGTTTGTTTGTTTGTTTGTTTGTTTGTTTGTTTGTTTGTTTGTTTGTTTGTTTGTTGTCATCAGTTATTTTATGAAACAAAGCTGAAGTGTGTAAACCTGGTTCTGGTTCTGGTCCTCAGGCAGCATCCTGTGTACAGTGGAGGGGAGCTGCGCTGGCAGCAGCCGAACCCGCCCCCCGGTGGTCCGTACCTGGCCTACCCCATCCTGTCGTCCCCCCAGCCCCCCGTCTCTAACGACTACACCTACTACCAGATCATGCCCGCCCCCTGCCCCCCCGTCATGGGCTTCTACCAGCCCTTCCCTGGACCCTACGCGGGCCCGGTCCAAGCGGGTGTGGTCAACCCGGTCTCAGCAGAGGTCGGCGAAAGACCGGTACCTCTCGGACCCCCATATGGACTGACCTCTCAGAGGGGGAGGGGCATGGTCCGCTCTAATGTTCTCCCAAAGGTACGCAGGCTTGTGTCCGAGCCGCCTGGTTCTGGACCCGGGTCTAGAGCGGCCTGGTTCTGGACCTGGGTCACCTTGGCTTTAATGGTCTGGTTTCTCTGCAGCAGCCTCACCTGAGCGTGGGCCAGACTGTGAGGGGCCGCCGGCCCCCCAGCAGGAGCGTGGCTGTGCAGAAGGAGGTGTGCACCTTAGCCCCTGATGGGAGGACCAGGACCATCCTGCTGGTGGATGCTGCTCAGCAGACAGGTGAGAGGACAGGTGTGCTGCTCCTCTGAGGGCCTGGTGGTCCTGAGGCTGGGGGCCTGCAGGCAGGTTTACCTGGAACTACCTGGTGATGATCTTAGACCAGTTACTGCAGTTTGTTTGTGTAAAACAGGTAATCTGAAATAACCCAGAATAACTAAGTGACTTCCTGCTGGGATTAATAATCTACAACCACCGGCCCACTCCCAGCTGAGAGCCTGCTTCCTGTCAGCTGCTCCTGCAGCTTCATGACAGGAAACGCTGTAAAGAATTGGAATGCAGCCGGTCCAGTTGGAGAGGTGAACATGTGTGCAGCTCCTCATGACCCGGTTCTGGATCAGTTTCAGGGGAAGTTCTTGACCTGCTTCAAATAGTTCAGTGAGCAGGGGGGCGGGTCCTGAACCTGTAGTGTCACACCTGTCAGGTGCTTTCTCTCTTCTGTCAACAAGTGTCTGATTGTTGCTCAGAGAAAAGCTTTGTCTCGTCCTCAGACTTCCCAGGTGAGGCGTCGGGTCGGTGCAGCGCCGAGCGGGTCAGTCCTCTGATGTGGAAGAACCGAACCAAGAGACGACGGGCGTCTCATCAGGTGGAGAACTACAGCGAGCCGGGCGCCAGCGAGGCCGACATCGACAGCGACAGTGGCTACTGTAGCCCCAAACACAACCAGGCTGCCGGGTCGGCCCAAAGAACCACAGAGAACACTGCAGCACCGCTGGTACGTCAGGTCCAAAGCACCACATCCAGAACCAACAATACAGCCTTTCCCCTAACCTAACCCTACGGTTATTATTAATAATAATAATAATAATAATAATAATAATAATAATAATAATAATAATAATAATAATAATTCCTTTATTTCAAAGAGCCACTGCAGAGGGACCAAAAAGCCACATGTTGCAGACCCCTGAGCTGAACGGATCTTTATGAATTTATTTTGAAGATTCGCCTTTTTTCGGACCTTTTTGTCCCTCCGCGGTTTCCGGTCCAGGTGACTCCCATTTCCTGGCGCACAGCAGCTTTCTGCGCTGCTCGGAGCGCAGCGGAGCAGCTCAGTGACGCAGCGGCGGCGGGTAACGGATCTCCGGGTTGAATCATGGGGAAACGCAGGTAAAATGCGGAGGTCCTGATCGCGGCGGCAGCTGACTGACATGGACGCAGGTGACGTGAAGGTGGGCTTCATGTTCCTGGCTGCTGCTAGCTGCGCAGCTTCAGCTCGTGATGAAAACAAATGTTTTCTTCAGGTTCAAACGGACAGTTTAAAGGCCGCTGTGCTTCTGTCGACACTAATCTGTGTTTGTTCAAATCTGTTTTTGTGKTCCTGCTGGACAGCAGCTCGATCTGCTGGTGCTGGTTTTAAGCTAACATCAGGTTAAAGCTAACTGAAGCTCGACTTTAGCTTCAGCTTTAATGTTCGTGCTGAAGTTATAAATGAGATGTTTTCAGCAGAGTTCTGTGTTTTGTTCCGTGTAGGTTAGCTGTTCATGCTAGCTGCAGCTAGCTTTAAATGCCCGCTGTGTGTTTATACTGGAGTCAGATGTGTTGTTACTGGGTTCAGATGTGTTGTTACTGGTTTCAGATGTGTTTATACTGGGTTCAGATGTGTTGTTACTGGTTTCAGATGTGTTGTTACTGGTTTCAGATGTGTTTATACTGGGTTCAGATGTGTTGTTACTGGTTTCAGATGTGTTGTTACTGGTTTCAGATGTGTTTATACTGGGTTCAGATGTGTTGTTACTGGTTTCAGATGTGTTGTTACTGGTTTCAGATGTTTACTGGGTTCAGATGTGTTGTTACTGGTTTCAGATGTGTTTATACTGGGTTCAGATGTGTTGTTACTGGTTTCAGATGTGTTGTTACTGGTTTCAGATGTTTACTGGTTTCATCTAAAGGAGGTTCGGGTCCAGAGGAATGTGCAGGTGAAGGTGTGGAGCAGCAGAAAGTCTGGTTCTCCTGCGTGTCTGTCATTCCTCAGGCAGTTTCACTAACCTTTACCTGCAACGTCACGTGTCACGTGTTCATAGGTGTTCAGTGCTTCAATACAACAAACAAACAACTCTGACCTCCTAATGGTGAGTCACGTGGTTGTTGAGGCAGGTAACAGGTGAGTCTGGATCAAAGCAACAAGTCTGATGGAGCAGCTCTAACTTCAAACTGTCAGCCTGCTGTCTGTTCTGACCCGGTCCAAACGGGTCTGAGTCAGAACCGCTCAGAACCAGCACCAACACAAACCCACCCGGGTCGGTTCAGCCCGGTTCTCTCATCCCCAACAGCAGACTCACATCTGGGTCTGACCTCACTGCCTGCTTCACAATCACAGCTACAC